GTCCAACTACAACTATATATATATATATATTTAAAAAAATAATAAAATGGGCTGGGGATGTGGCTCAGTGGTTAAGCACCCCTGGGTTCAATCCATAGTACAAAAAAAAAAAAAAAAAAAGACATAGGCAGCAACATCCTCCATAGGATTCCTATAGCTCAGGAAATAACACTGGGAATCAATAAATCAAAGGGATGGCATCATACTAGAATGGGAGAAAATCTTTGCCAGCTCCTCTTCCAACAGAAGATTAATATCTAGAATATATAAAGAATCTTTTAAAAATTCAACACCAAAAAAATAATAACCCATTCAATAAATGGACAAATGAACTAACCAGACACTTCTCAAAAGAAATACAAATGGCCAAAAGTAATTTGACTGTTAAATGTCTTTGGGCAGCAGGGGAATGCAAAATTAAAACTACACTGAGATTTCATCTCACTCTAGTTAGAATGACAATCATCAAGAATACAAATAACAATAAATGCTGGCAACGATACAGGGGTTGGGGGTGGGGCGGATCTTACACACAATTGGAGGGATTGTAAAGTAGTGCAGCCTTTATAGAAATTGGCATGGAGTTTCCTCATAAGACTAGGAATGGAACCACCATATGATCCAGCTATACCAATCCTGGGTATTTACCCAAAAGAACTAAGGTCAGCATGTGCTAGAGATACATGCATACCCATGTTTGTAGCAACATAATTCACAATGGCCAAGTTATGGAACCACCCTAGGTGTCCATCAACAGGTAAGTGTATAAAGAAAACAATATACATGATGGAAATATTTTATTTTTATTTTAAATTGCTACTAGGAATTTAACCCAGGGGCGCTTTACCACTGAGCTACATCCCCAGTCCTTTTTTTTTTTCCCCTCCACATTTTTTATTGGTTCATTATAGTTGTATATAATAGTGGGATTTGTTGTCACATATTCATACATGCATACAATATAACATAAATGGGCCAATATCACTCCCTAGCACTTCCGCCTCCCTCCTCTCCTCTCACCCCATTTTTATTTTTTATTTTGATACAGGATCTCACTAAGTTGCTGAGACTGGCCTTGAACTTGTGATCAAACTTGTGATCAAATTTTTTTAGAGAAAAAAATTAACGTGAAAGGGGCATGAGAGAAATTTCTAGATCTGTCTGGTCTCTATGGTGTCTTAGTTACATATAGCTATGGAACCCTTAAGATGTGGCTAGTTGGAATGAAGACATGCCATAGATATTAGACGCGCACCCCATTTAGAACACATTATGAGAAAACAAAAGAAAGTATCTCACTGGCAATTTTTTTTTCAAAGATTGATTACACATTGAGATGACATTTTAGCTATACTAAGTTAAAGAAGCAATATCATCTGGGCTGGGGTTGTGGCTCAGTCATAGAGTGCTTGCTTAGCATGTGTGAAGCACTGGGTTTGACTCTCAGCACCGCATATAAGCAAATAAAAATAAAGGTCCACTGACAACTAAAAAAAAAAATTAATTAATTAACTTAATTAAATTTTAAAAAGAAGTTCTATCATCAATTAATGTCTCAAAGCCAGGTGTAATGGTGCATGTTCAGAGGCTGGAGGATCACAAGCTCAAGGCTAGTCTGGGCAATTAGTGAGACACTGTCTCAAAAATAAAATGGGCATGGGTATAGCTTAGTGGTAAAGCACTTGACTTGCCTAGCATGTTTGAGGACCTAGATTTGATCCCCAGTACTACAAACAAACTCTCCCTGGCCGATCTTCTCCATCTCACCATGTGATGCTCTCTGCCACATTACGACCAGTGGGGAAGGCCCTCACCAAATGCTGAGCAAATAGGACTTCATGCTCTCGTACTTCCCAGCTTCCAGAACTTGAGCCAAGTGAACCTCTATTCCTTGTACATTGCTCAGTCTGGTATTCGGTTATAGCCAATAGAAAAAAAAGGCAATTAAAATTTAGTGAACTTTAGTGAAATTTACTGTATGTAATTATATCATAAAGCCCTATGATCACCACCCAACATACCCTGAGGGAATGAATATACAGCCTATGAAAGAAACAGACTACAAAGACTTCTTGCATAATAAGGGTCACAGTAAAGTTCTTGAACAAGCTAGTCTATTGGTGGTGGCTTCCATTCTCACCATATTAAAAGGAATCACTGGTATGTGTGTCTTTGTGGGTATGGAGAAAAAGTACAAAGGAAGTTGTTATTTGGGTCCAGTAAACTCCCTCAAACAGAAAGGGGATCGGGCTAGGGTGTAGCTCAGTCATGGAGTATCTGCCTAGCATGTGTGAAGCCCAGGGTTTGATCCCCAGCACCAAAAACAAAAACAAACAAACAACAACAAAAATACAGGGGACATTTCTGAAGGCCAGAAACACTTGGATTCAGGAGGCATCTATGCTTCAGGTTTCCCCTTGAGACACTGTTATAGAGCCCCAGGGGAAAGAGCCCGGGAGTCACTCATAGCTAGAGACTGATTCAAGACATTGTCTCGTGATGAAATTGCTAAGGTACATACAAGTTCTAGATCTTAGCTTTCTGGAACTAGCCCTGCGTCAAAGGAAAGGCAAAACACAAGAGCAAGCTTTTGTCCATTTACTCAACAAACCAGCAAGTGGGTATTCATTAGCAACAAACTAAGCCAGGTTCAGAGGTTAGGAAACATGACCCAGAAGTGAAGGATCCAAGATGTCACTTAAGACGGACTGGCTACGAAGTTATTGCTCCTTCCTGACAAGCAACCCCAGTGACCTGAAATAAGAGGCCTGGGGTGCTGGGCAGTAGGAAAGAAACTACATGTGACCAAATCAGAACAAGTGGAAGACAGAAGTCCAGAAGCTTCCATACCGTGGTACCTGGAACACTACCAGTAATCATCTTGATTTCTCTCTCTCTGCCAAGTTCCTAGAAGGCTCAGGACTGAGTTCTGAGGCTTCTACACCCACAGCACCTATTAGGGCTGGACACAGCATGTGTTCTTAGGTGTGCTTGCTGAATGTTTGAGACAGCTGAGGCTTCTGAACAGAAAAGTAGGGAAGGAATCAGACCATGGGTAAGAGCACAAGAGAGAGGGAATGGAAGGATTGGAAAAAAGTTAGGCCAAACACTCAGGAAATCTTAACTCCCTACATAAACAGGCCTTTTCCTGACACAGAGACAATTTCTCTGAGTCCTGATGTCCCCCTCTCTCAGAGGTCAGAGGCCTGGGGCAGGAAAGTGACCGGCTTTGTTTAACACAAGAAAATGTCAAAGGTCAGGAATATTGCTGTGTGGCCCTATGAGCCTGATTTAGCATCATAAAATTTATACATTTTGAGGAGTAACTTTCAGAGTCCTCATGGCCTAAGAGGGCACACAGGAGTTCAAAAGCAAGGCTTGGAGGCTGGGGCGGGGCGCTGAGCTAGCCTAGGAGGGCACTGGGAGGGAGGGAAGGAGGGGGATGGAAGAGAACCCAGTTCTCTTCTTCCAGACCCCATCTGTTGACAGAACTGGATCCCCCTGGGTTTTCTCACAAAATGAAACAGAATGATGTTAAAGTATGGTGTTTTCTGGATTTTAGGAACATTGCTAATAAATAAACGTGATTCTAAGAGTTTAAAAAAAATAAATAAATGTGATCCTAAGAGTTCTGGCCTACTAGCCTAAAAGGAATGTGCAACTCCCTTGAACTCCTCTAGCCATTTTTTTTTTTTTTTAAATACCAAATCTAGTTGTTGAAGACCCAGTCCTGTTAGGTTTCTTTTCTTTTTCTTTTTCTTTCTTTCTTTCTTTTTTTTTGAACTCAGGGGTACGCTGCCAATGGGCTACATCCCCAGTCCTTTTTATTTTATTGTGGGTCAGGGTCTCACTAAGTTGCTGAAACTGGCCTCAAACTTTTGATCCTGCTACCTCAGCTTTCTGAGTAGTTGAAATCAGACTTGCACTACCGCACCCAGCTAAAGTCCTCTTTCTTTATTTTAACTGTGGAATTCATTCTTCCTTTTTTTTTTTAATAGTTGAAAGGCTGTTGCTTACATATTGCTAAATTGTGAAAAATGATCCTCAATCGTGCCTCCCCAACTTTTTTTCTCCCCTTGAAATGGCTGACATGATAACACAGGATAGGTTGCTAGATATTGCTGTCAGAAGCTACACAAAGAGAGAAGCCAGATGATTTCATGGTCCTTCTTTATGCAAAAAGCACTAATCACACTCTTTATGGTTTCCTGTTAGGTTTCTTCCCTGTCCAGGCCCACAGCCCATATGGTGTGGAAAAATGGTGCCCTGACCGCAGATTTAGCACCCTGCCTAGATGGGTGGCAGGGCAGTCTGCACACTGGGCTTGCCAGTGCTGGGTGCTGAAGGTAATACCACCTCTAATCTCCTGGGAGAGCCAATCCACCTAACCAAGGCCTTTCCCTTGCAGTCTCAGGGGTCCTCCCAAAGGCTTGCAACATCAGCTTTACCTACATCCTCCACTGCCAGCCCCCATCCCTTTGCACTAAGGATGGACAAAAACTAAGGCCCAGGAGTAGGTGGCAAGGAACCTATTTGTCAGCAGCTGATGAGGACTGAGGAGACTGCTGAGTTCAGTGGCCTGAGTGGGGGGAGGGGAGACATCCAGGCAGATCCCCAAGTTTATCCCTGAAGGAGTTGCAGCTCAGAGGCTGGGTTCTAGGGACAGAGCACAGATCTTGGCCCTGGCCCCTGCCCCTCAGGATAGATCGCTACAGACCCACACTCCTGGGCCATAAAGGGAAGAATCTACAGTCCTGGACTAGATCAGACTCAAGACAGGACCACTGTGGCCAGCAGCGGCCCTTGTCCCAAGCCAGGCCAGTTTTTCCTGTTGCCTAGGTACTAGAGTACTAGATGGGGGTACCAGTGAGAACCATCCCAAGGAGGCCCAGAGACGGGCTTCCCAGCAAGTGGGATGGGTCCCCAGGGAAGCTCTGCAGGATCCCCCCAGCTCCTTTCCGGGGGACTGCCCAGCCCCCTCTCCGCCCCGGGGCGGGTACCTGAGCGGACGGACGTGCTGCGAATTCGCTTCCTGCCATCCCGGAGAGAGGACAGGCCGGGGCCCCTGCACCGCCAGGCTCATGGCACACAGCCTCCGGAGGCGCAGCATGCCGGCAGAGACAGCTCGCTCCACCGCAAGTCCGGCCCGAATAAACTTTTAAAGTGAGCCGAGGCGGGGCGAGCGCGGAACAGGCGGGGAGGCGGGAGGGTCGCCTCTGCCTATGGGGTGCGGAGGACTCGGTCCCGCCGGGGCGGAGCCAGACGAGGCGGGAGGGGGCGACTCTGCGCCCTGGGCCACCTTCGCATGGGACCGCGTCCCTCCCAGCCCACCCTCCAAGAATTGCCCTGGTTTCCCTCTGAATCCGAAGGCCTGGCTGCAGCCCAAGACACGGCCTGGGTGTAGCAACCGAGGAGTTTGTTAATTTCCTAAAGGGGAAGACGGCGGAGCCTCAGTGCTGAGCCAGATGGCAAGGTCAAGGCTGCGCAGGCCCCTGCACCCGTTTAGCGCGAGGGCAACGTGGGAACCCACGGGGTGGTGAGCCAGAGATTAAAGGAACCAGCATCCAGGCCCCGAGGGCTGCCAGCTGGAACCGGGAGCCTGAAACAGGCGGGAGGCTCGGGGACAAAGAGTGCTGCGAAAGAATCCCTCTGTGCCCGCAGGCGCGGGGTCAAGTCCCCAGAGAGGCCAGGCATCCGCTTCAGGCGGTATCCCCACCTCACACCCTCCCCCTATGTCTCTGCCTTGATGCCGCCCCCGCCACCAAGCATGGTTACAGGGCTGTCCACCGTCTGGTGGCCTCATGGACTGGGACCTGTGTATCCTATCTGCCATCTTCCTGTGCCAACTTAAGACCTAAAACACAATTCTCTGAGTCTCCCTGAGGCTGAATGGAAAGCACTCAGCTCAAGCCTCCTCCCTCTCTCTTTGACTCTTCTTTCAGAGGAGGAAGGGGAGAGTAAAGGGCAAGAGGTCATGGCAAGTGGCCTGCCCTCTCCTGACTTGGAGGCCCTGAGGAAAGCCAAGCCAGGTGGAAGCCATCGCTGAGGGTGGAGCCTGGCCTGAGGAACCTTTGAGCTTTGGCTCAACTGAGGTCACTCCACTGCTCCTCTTTATGATATTCAGAGTGATTTCAAAATACTGGGTTGTGAGGATGGTCCCTACCTTTCACATTTTATGGGATTGCGGCAACTAATCAAAGGAGCAGAGAGATGATGAGGAGCTGGACTTGCAAGGGCATGTCTTCCTAACCGCAGGCAACTTGGAGCACTGGCAAGTATCCCTCATCCAGGCTCCTAGTCCTGCCTGGTAGCCTTTGCCACTGGCTTGCTGGGTAACCCTGGGTAAATCATTGCCCTGCTCCAAGTAAATCATTTTCTCTATGAAGTAAGGGCTAGTGCTGGTCCCACAGGCCCTTGTTCTCCCTTACTAGTTCAAGGGTCTGTGCTGGGATGAGGGAGGAGCTCCATCCTGACCTGACCTCCATCCTGGGTTTCCCAGACACTGGGCTGTCCTGGAAGTGGGGAGCAGGGCACATGCCCATCCAGGCCATCCAACTTTCTATACCAGCTCAGACCCTCTTGCTCCCTGGGAGACTTTGTGCCTGAGCTGAGCATGTCTGCTGGATGCTGCACAGGACTCTCACAGTTTATGTTCCCTGGGATTTTGTTCATGCCATTGGTTATCCCCAAGAAAACCCTGATTTCCTCCCATTTGCCAATATCCTTCCCTTTTCTGCTTCAAAAACTGACTCATCAGATAAACACAATAGCTGGACACAGTGACCCATGCCTGTAATCCCAGCAACTCAGAAGGCTGAAGCAGGAGGATCACAAGTTTGAGTCCAGCCTCAGCAACTTAGACTCTCAGCAACTTATTGAGACCTTGCCTCAAAATAAAAAATAAAAAGGACTGGGGGGCTGGGATCGTGGCTCAGCGGTAGAGCGCTCGCCTAGCATGGGCTAGACCCAGGTTCAATCCTCAGCACCACATAAAAATAAAGACATTATGTTGTGTCCACCTACACCTAAAAAATAAATATTAAAAAAAAAAGGACTGGAGATGTAGGTCAGTGATGAAGTACCCCTGGGATCAATCACCAGTGCCAAAATAATAGTAATAATAATAATAATAACAACAACAAAACTATGTTATGAGGCATTATCAGACAAAAGTCTTTTCTCAAACAGAAAATCAAGAAATGGCAGAATAAGAAAATGTTTAGAGGTAAATAACAAGAGAAAGTAAGCAACAAGAAGATTAAATAAGTTAGAATAGGTCAAATGAACTTGAAACTGTTCATTTGACCTATTTTTCCAAAGAAGATACACAAAGGGCCAATAAGTACCTGAAGATACTCAATATCACTAATTGTTAAGGAAACAAATCAAAACCACAAGATACCACATTATATCCATAAGGATAACTACTATTAAAAAATAACAAGCCATGGGGCTGAGGTTGTGGCTCAGTGGTAGAACACTCACCTCCCACGTGCGAGACCCTGGGTTCGACCCTCAGCACCACATAAAAAAAATAAATAAGTGAAATAAAGGTGTTGTGTCCAACTACAACTAAAAAATAAATATTTTTACAAAATTAACAAGCCAAGAATGGTGGTGCATGCCTGTAATCCAGGCTATTCAGGAAGCTGAGGCAGGAGGATTGCGAGTTCAAAGCCAGCCTTAGCAAAAGCAAGACACTAAACAACTCAGTGAGACCCTGTCTCTTAAAAAAAACAAAAACAAAAAAAAACAAGATAGGGCTGAGGATGTGGCTCAGTGGTTGAGTGCCCTGAGTTCAATCCCCAGTAACCTTGCCCCCCCCCGCAAAAAAAAAAAAAACAGTTTGAGGCCAGCCTCAGCAACTTAGTGAGACCCTGTATCAAAATAATAAATAAAAAATAAGAGGGTTGGGGGTGTTTTTCAGTGGTTAAGCACCCCTGGATTCAATCCCTGGTACCAAAATAAAATAAAATAAAGGACTGGGGTTTTAACACAGTAGAGCACTTGCCCGGCACATTAAAGGCCCTGGGCTTAGCCCCAGCACTGCAAAAACAACAACAACGAGTGTTAGTGAGGATGCGGAGAAATTGGAATCCTTGTGCTTCATAGAATGTAATCATAAAAGCATAATATGCATTGTTTATGAATACAAAACCTAGACTAAAAGCACTTATTACTCACATGGCATGATTATAAGTGCTTTTCCTTTTTTTTTTTTTAGTCATTTTATTGGTACTGGGGAATGAATCCTGAGGTGCTTAACTAATGATCTTTTTATTTTTTATTTTGAGACAAGAGCTTGCTAAGTTGCTCAGTGCCTTGCTAAGTTGCTGAGGCTGGCTTTGAACTTGCAATCCTCTTGCCTCAGCCTCTGAGCCATTGGGATTACACTGGCTAATTCTGAACAAATGTAAAATGTACAGAGAAAATGATACAATATACTGATTATGGACTCAGGGACATTTTAAAAGTAAAAACACATCTAGGCAAAGTGGCACATGCCTGTCATTCCAGCAACTGGAGAGTCTGAGGCAGGAGTATTGCAAGTTGAGGCCAGCCTGGACAAATTAGTGAGACCATCTCTCAAAATAAAAATTAAAATAAAGGGCTGGGGATGTAGCTCAGTGATAGAACACCCCAGGGTTCAATTCCCAGTCCTGCAAAAAAAAAAAAAATGGTAAAAAGCATTGGGCCTTCAGGTGTAGCTCAGTGGTAGAGTTCATGCTCAAGATCCTGGGTTCAATCCCCACAGTACAGCCACTATGGAAAATAGTATTGGGGGGAGGGGCTCCCAAATATAAAAAATAGAGTAACAGTATGATCCTTCAGTTCCACTCCTGAATATATATATATATATATATATATATATATATATATATATATCCCCCAAATAATTGAAAATGGGGACTCAAGACTGTGTGTTCATAACAGAATTACTCACAAGAGCAGAAAGGCAGAAATAGCCCAGATGTGGTGTATCCATACAACAGACTACACTCAGCCTTAAAAAGGAAGGAATTCTGACACATGCTATAATACAGATGGACCCTGAAGAAATGCTAAGTGAAATAAGACAGGCGAAAAGAGTATGATTCTATCTGTATGATTCTACCTGCAGGAGGAACCTAGAGAGTCGAAGTTCTCCCAGGACAGTTGGAGCCAGAGATCTGCTGCTTTTGATTTAAAAAATTTTTTTTTCTTATTTTTATTTTCTAAGAGGGTAAACATTTTTATCTCCCCGCCCCCTTACCTCCCAAGGTCCTGGGGATTGAACCCAGGGTCATACACATGCTTGGCAAATGCTCTACCATTGAGCTACACCCTCAGCCCTACATGTTTTAACTTAAAATGTATTTTTTAAAAAATTTGTAGTTGTAGATGGACACAATGCCTCTGTTTTATTTGTTTATTTTTTATGTGGTGCTGAGGATCGAATCCAATGCCTCATGCATGCGAAGCAAGCGCTCTGCCACTGAGCCCCAGACCCAGCCCTAAAAATGTATTATTAAGAGGCCGAAGCAAGGTCTCTTGCTAGGGGCATCAGTGGGTTATAGGGACTGATTTTTTTTTTCCCAAGTACTAGGGATTGAACCCAGAGGCGCTTCACCACTAAGCCACATAACCAGCTCTTTTTATTTTTTACTTTGAGACAGGGTCTCGCTAAGTAATTGAAGGTCTTATTAAGTTGTGAAAGCTGGCCTCAAAATTTCAGTTCTCCTACCCCAGCCTCCTGAGTCACTGGGATTACAGGTGTGTGCCAACCATGCCTGGCAGGGACTGATGTTTGATGAGGTTCCCACTGCTAAAACTAATTTGAGCAAAGGGATTCCTTAAACTTGAAGTCAGGTCTTGAAAGGATCCAGGTGACTGATGTCAATGGCCTTGAATAAATTACTTTTCTCTGGTGTAATTTTTTTTCATAGCTCTCTATTGTAATTGACTGCTTCCAAGCAGCATGTGAAAAAGTGTCCATTTTAAAGAAATTCCTCACTTTTTATCTAAGAAAGAAGCTGTTTAACAAGAAATGCAGTGATCAGGAAGGAGTGGTGGTAAAATGGAGATTCTGGAGCATGTGAAGGGCCCTGAGTTCCATCACTGGCACTAACAAGATAAATAAATGAGAGAGAGAGAGAGAGAGAGAAAAGCAGAAGGGACTGCTATCAT